ATCCAGTGCGCAGTGCGTAACATGGACATGAAATCCACACGATATGTTATTCGGTGGGCGGGTGGACAGAAGCATCGATGAATTCCTGACCGATTTAATGAAGGCGTTGGACCCCTTGTCGTCGCGTTCATCGTGCACACAAGCGAAGAAATCAGGATGCTCGCGCGTGGACCCAAAACAGTTCAATCGTGAAGCAAGTATGGAACCCCATGCGGTCGGAATGCCATGCGCGTGGAACCCAATGCGTGAGGAGCACAATTGATGATGAACCCAAGTGATGAGGAACCTCATGTGTGTGGAATCCACTGTGTGGAATTCAGTTCAGACCCGTGCGTGTGGAATCCAAGGCATGCAAAGCCCCATGTGTGAAGAACCCTATTATGCTTGGATTGTCATGCGCGTGGAAGCCCATGTATGTGGAATCTCATCTCTGTGCAACCCCATGCGTGTGTAACCCCACCCCTGTGGAACCGCAGATGTGCTGTACTTCATGTGCGTAGAGCTTCACGTATGTAGAACCCCATGCGTGAGGGACCTCATGTGTGCAGAATCCTATGCGTATGGAGCCCACTTCGTGTGGAACCCCATCGGGTTCCAATTGCCACGGCGTGTGAAATCACATCGGGTTCCAATTTGAGGGAGGGTAGGGAGCGGAGGGAGGGGGGGAGGGTGATTGCAGTGGAATGGATTGCAATCGATTGCGTTGCAATCAATTGGAATGCAATCGATTGCATTGGAATCGGTCGGATTGCAATCGATTGGATTGCAATCCAGTCGCTCGATCGTCGATCCTTGATCGGATCGTCGATCGTCCATCCTCGATTATCGATTGTTGATTTTGGATCGTCGGCGAAAGGGAGGCCGGGAGCTCCGGGGGCTGGATGGGAAAAGGGGGGGGATTTCCAAGCCCCCCCCCCCCTTTGAGAAAGGGCGGGAGGGGGGGAGGGTAGTTTTCAGCAGTGCGGGTCCCAGGGGGAGGGGGGGTAGCTAAGCCAGCCCACCCCCCTTGGAAAGGGGAGAAGGAGTGGGAGCTTCCCGGGCGGCCAAAAGGGGGGGGGGGAGCTTCCAAGCCCCCCCATCTTGGAAAAAAGAAGGGGAGGGGGGGGGCAGCCCGCGTGGGTCACTTTGCGAACAGAGCGGCCACTTTTAAATCAGATGGGACACTTGACCTTCCAGGATAGCCACCTTACAACCAGGCGAATAAAATACGCATAAGCGACATATGTTCTTCAATTCCCGAAATTTCCGTGGATCCAGACACTTCGCTCTCTGAAGCGTGTTGGTTGTAAGGTGACCCGTCTGAAGCGAGAATATGTGAAGTGGCGGGTTCCTAATGGTAGCCAACAGGAATCCTATGGGAATCCTATTGGCACCCTTCCCACTGGGATCCTGTTGGTACCACATGAATCCCATTCGTATCCAACAAGATTCTTCGATATGGGGCCTACGGGTGTCCTGTTGGAACCCGATAGGGATGCTTCCTACTAGAAACAGTTTGGGCCCTTCCTGACGAACACCGATTTGGAACCCCATTGGATTACAATCGAGGAACATTCCTGTTGGAATGCGGGGAACGCGCTGGGGGCACTATATGGAAACCCGGTGGGTATGTTTATGGGTTACTACTCGAAAACAGTGGGAACCGTCTTTCTTGGAATCTCATCAGAACCATATTGACGAATTCTAGACGCTACGCGTATCCCCACCACCCTCGTTCTTACCGCCCTCTGGACTTTTCCTTGCGGGCCGCGAATCAGAAAAAGTATCCCCACCAGCCCATTTACAAACGATGCGCAGGGGAGCTGACGGAAGAAGGGAAGGAGAGAAACACATAGTGAAACCGAGCGGGCGACAACGGTGAATTGGGAGATCTTTTGCGGTGAAGGTTGCATGTGTTGCTGCTGGTGCTCTTGCTCCTGCTGGTACTGTTTCTGCTGCTGTTGCTGCTGGTGTTGCTGGTTCTCGACCAGCGAATGCCCAGGCGAATGGGGGCCTGTTCCGTGCCTTAGGGGGGTCCTCTTGGGGCCGTTTGGGCGTCTCTTGGGAGCTTCATGGAAGCCTTTTGGGCGTCTCTTGGGGCCTCCTGGGCGCCTCTTGGGGCCCTCATGAGGCGCTCTTGAGAGCCTTGGGGGCGCTCTTGGGGCCATCTTGGAGGAGATCGATCAAACAAGGGAAGGGGGGGGTAATTAGCACCGCCCATCGGGAGCCTCTAAAATCGCCTCTTGGACCACTCTTGGAGCGCTCTTGGGGCCGTATTGGGGCTCTCTTGGGCCCCTCTTGGGGTTTTCTTGAGCCATTTTGGAGCCAGCTTGAGGCCTCGGATGGCCGTCGGAAGCGAAACGGCGAGAAACCAAACATCATTGGTTTTCCTCCGGTTTTCACAGGGTTCTTGCCTCTTGGAGGCCTCCTTGGAAAACTATCTAGCCTCTTGGAGCCGCCTTGGGACGGTCTCGGAGCCTCTTGGAGCATTTTCAGAGCCGTCCTGGGGTATCTTAGGCTATCTTGATCAATATTGGAGGTCGTCTTAGGCTTTCCGACGCGCTCTTGGAGCCATCTTGGGCGAACAAGTAACCGTGTGACCGCTCGCTAAACGCCCGGTCCAGGTCCAGGGGAGGGGGGTCGGGGGAGGGACTCCTCCCCGAAGGGGAAGAAGGATGGGTGTATGAAGAAACTCTCTAAACCACCTACGCCCATAGGGCTGGTGGGATACGAAGGATATCGCATTCGAATACAATATGAATCCTTCCTTTTCGATCCATGCGGGCATACTATTGCGATATCACCAGGACCCACCGGTAACTCAACAGAAACCTGTCCCCTTTGACTTATATTGTGCCCCGACGGGTGTCCTTTTGTTATCTTTATCTGATCCAAAATGAGCAAGTGGAAACCAGTTGAGATCCAATAGAGATCCTTCCGCTACAGGGTGGCGACAGGCCTGGGCAGTTTAAGTCGTTTCACATCCATGCCCTAAATCTACATCGTTGTTTGGGGCCTTGTAACCTTTGCCTGAAAACCCTGCTTCTTTTGCAAATAAAAAACGGTAAGCGTTCGCCGCAAAAGGCGCAGATGAACACGCGCGCCCCCAGGAGAGCGGAAATGTGGCCAAGCAATCGCTGGTACAGTTCTAGCCAATACATGCGGTTGTTTTCGCGGCATCAACATATTTTGCCCTCGCGCCTCATCGTCTGGCCACAACGCAACCGTATGTGCTCGCATGTGCGAAAGCACGCGTGTCTGGGAAAACGGAAATGTGGCCAAGAAACCATCGGTACATTTCTGGCCAATAACTGTGGGTTTCAAATGTTTGTTTCTTTGGCATCAGAAACCGCGTTTGGCATCGCGCCTTACCGCTTGGCAACAGGAAAAAAATGTCTTCAGAATTGTTGAAGCATGCGTACACAGGAGGGCAGCAATGTGGCCAAGAAGCCTGTCGTAAGTTCTCAGCTGTTACATGCGGATGTCAATGTGTGTGCCTGGCCTGACCGACAACTGTAGCCCTCGCGCTTCATCCTTTGGCAATTGCGAAGCCGTATGTTTTGACATTCGCGGTCGCATGCGTACCGAGGAGGGCGGAAATGTGGAAACGAAACCGGCGGTAGCACTCTAGCCAGTACATGCGGATTTCAAATTGCGTCGAACTGTTTGTTCTTATATCATAAACCATGATTGCTCTCGCGCCCCATCGTCTGACAATCACGAAACCCGCATGCGTTCGAAATTGCGAGCATGCGTGCCCAGGAGGGCCGAAATATTGCCAAGACGCCGGTGAAAACGTTCGAGCCACTACCTGTGGATGCAAAGTTGTTACGTTGTGCCTCATAGACAATTTTCGCGCTCGCGCTTTCCATCTGGCAATAGCAAAGCCGCATGCGTGCGCAATCGCAGGAGCATGCGTACCCAGGAGGGCAGACATGTGGCTAAGACATCGTTTGTAAAACTCTAGCCACGGCATGTGGATTTCAAATTGTGCCGGTTTGCATCGTAGGCTATGTTTGTCCTCGCGCCCCACCGTCTGGCAATCGCAAAACCGCGCGATTGCGCAATTGCAGAAGCATGCGTCCCCAGGGGGCGGAAAGTGGCCGCGATATCGTTGGTCCTAACGCATGCGGGTTCCATTTTTTTGGGCCACACAAGCAGTTCTTGCTCTCGCTGCGCAGAAGCTTCACAGCGCCCAGGCGCCTGAAAGCCTCTGCAAAGCGCCCAGGCTTCATCGGCCTCTGCCTTTGCAGAGCGCCCAGGCGCTCTGAAGCCTCTGCAAAGCTCCCAGGCGCGCAGAAGCCCCTGCAGAGCGCTCAGGCGCTCAAAAGATTCTGCAGAGCGCCCACGCTCTCATAAGCCTCTGCAGAACGCCCGGGCGCTCAGAAGACCCTGCAGAGCGCCCAGGCGTTCAGATGCCTCTGCAAAGCGCTCAGGCGCTCAGGAGCCTCTGCAAAGCGCTTTGGCGCCCAGATGCATCTGCAGAGCGCTCAGGCGCTCAGCGGCTTCAGAAGCTCCTGCAGGGCTCTCGCGCGCGCTTGCGAAGGCTGGCTGTAAAGTGGCCGTTCTGGTTGCAACGGGCCCCGTCTGGGTTGCGCAGCGGTCGCCACGATTGCAACGCGGGCTGTTATGGTTGTAAAGTGGTCAGTTTCAAAGGAAAGCCAAATAATTATATCCTTTGTTGGTTGTAAACTGACCCATGACATTTGAAAAGTGACGCTCGGTTTGCAAAGAGACCGAATCTCGGGGGAATAGCTTCCAGCAAAGGGGGGGGCAGGGGGGGCCGGGGGTGGCCGAGCACCCCAGCCCCTTCTGGAAAGGGCCA